TCAGAGCTAATGCGGCTCGTGATAGCGTTTTGGCCTTGCAACGAATTGTGAACTAGTTTTTTGTTTTTTGTTGTGTGTGTATGTGTACGTGTTTTTTTTCAATTTTCATTTTTTTCCTCTGCTGGGTAATATTTTGGTGTGTGTGTGTGTGTGTGTGTGTTTCTGGGCTTGACGCTGCTGTATGGAGATTAATATTCAACATTTTTGCAGCCTTGGAAGGAGCACCACCTTTTAAGATTCTAGTGAAAAAAAAAAAAAAGGATAGACAGATAGTGAGAACTATATCTGTAATTACAAAATAAATAAATAAATAAATAAATAATAATAATAATAATAACAATAATAATAGTAACAGTGTAACACGGATATATACATAGATAGTCATATAGATATGTAGCCTAACGTAGGAATAAAAGTATATAACATAGTATACGATAGGTAGATATGTACTATGTAGGTATATAGATATACGTGATAAAATATGACACAGAAGGAAATGGAGGGGAAAAAAAAAATCCACTATGTATGCAGTACGTAAATATATGACTTTGGGACTTTGTCCCACAGACTCAGACTCTGTGTGTGTGTGTGTGTGTGTGTGTGTGTGTGTGTGTGTGTGTGTGTGTGTGTGTGTGTGTGTGTGTGTGTGTGTGAGTGTGCGTGTCTGTACACATACATGTATGTGATTGAGCGACTGAGTGAGTGCTTGAGTAAATAAGTGAGGAGACTTCGGGGGTGGGAGGGGATGGGATTTGTTTGTTTTGATTGAAAGTGTTTTTTTTTTTTTTTTTTTTTTTTTTTTTTTTTTTTTTTTTTTTTTTTTTTTTTTTTTTTTTTCCCGCTGGTAGCCAACGACTGTAGAATGTTGTTGCCTACGATAAAAGTATAGATTGTGAAACGACAACCTATGGGCAGAATGTTTAGACAGATACGAGGGTCAAACTGTTCAGTCACAAATTGTGTACAATTAGTCAAAGTCCTTTTGGTTGGGTTAATTTGGCTTGAAACAGTGTTTGGCTATCTTTTCACAGTACGTTGGTGCTAGTTCGTGGTGCACACATCAAATTTATCATGCGCAGGCCCTGCCGGATGTACTGCTGTCTCGGGTGGAGCCCCTTGCATATGAACAAAGAAACAATCGGGAAAAGTAATAGATTAAGAAGCCCCCTCACCCCTACAAGCAGTCAAGTTGTCCAAATGCAGTCAATTAGTCCAGGCGCGAAGTCCCACTGCCAGTGAATGTGGACGTGTTTGTGGGTATGTGCGGTTGAGAAAACTAAACGCGATTTCTGCACATCTCTACAAATACATTCATATTTCGTCGTTGCGGAAACTAAACGTTGTCAGTGGGATTTGGCCCCAGGTGAGGGCTCCAATTATCCTTGCTAGTGAGTGGTATGAAATAGGAATTAATAAAAAGCCAAAACCTCACCGTATTTGTGATCAGGTACTAATAAATCGACCACACTCTTGGATTTCGCAGATTTAGACTCATTTAATGCACAAGCAGTGTAAGCTTATGAGTCCGCTTGTTCTTTAGCCCGCTTCTATTTTTTCCCTTTTTTTTCTTTCTTTAACGTATTTAGTATCCACAATAAACGGTAAGGTTCACGTTGTGCGCGGCTCAGGCGGCTGTGATGACATGTGCGTTGACATGCAAGAGATGATCTCGACCGGATTTCCTGCTTATTCAACAGTGTGTCAGCGTCAACATACAAAACCGCCCCTGATGCAGAGGAGGCTGATCGAGAGAGAGAGAGAGAGAGAGAGAGAGAGAGAGAGAGAGAGA